ACACCATCAGATAAGGATTAAACAAAGACTGTGAATGGCTATCCAGCTACAGAAGCAGTTTCTCCTCCCTTGGTGTTCACACCTCAACTGCTAGCAGCGCACCTCACCCTCCCTGATTGAACTAACCTCGTTATCTCCATACTGATTTATACCTGCCTCTGGAAATTTCCATTACTTGCATCTGATGAAGTGGGCATTCACTCACGAAAGCTTATGCTCCAATACTTCTGCTAGTCTTAAAGGTGCCACAGGACCCTCTGTTGCTTTTTACAGATTCAGACTAACACAGCTACCCCTCTGATACTCTATTCTTGTTGAATGGGAAAACAGATTTTGCTTATAACAAGTCCCTGTAAAGCTTAAGAGGAGGAATTGAATTTTCAGCTTCAACATCTGAGTATTAGTCACATTTGTTAAAAAATAAGGGCCCATGAAGAAACATAGGAGGAATATAAATGGGTAATTAAATCAAGTTAATTAAAAGTTAAGCAGCAATGTGTCTCAGCAAGTAGGACATCCGAGTGGGTCTCAGGAGACCTGGATTCTACTCCCAGCTCAAGCAGTGGCCTGCTGCAAGTCCTTGGTTAACTCACTTCACCACTCCCTAGCTCTGTTTCTCCCATATGTGTGATGGGGCAATGAGACTGACCATTCTTTGTACACTGCTTGCAGATCTACTGATTGAATGTACTACAAGGCTTAGTTGTAATATGACAGAATAGCAGGTGTAAAAGCAATAGTTAACTTGTTGTTTACTTACATAGTATGTCCAATGTGTAAGGATATCTCAGCTCCTTTTCCAAAGCCGGATGCCTCACAACACAAGTTATGCGTCTTCCTCTGGCAAATTTGGTGGGTATGAGTTTGTACTGACTGACAACCGTCACAGTTTCATTTGGAAATAAAGTAGAACTGGATTCCATTTCTCCAAGACCTCCTTCCCAATCAATATCTGCAGCAGGTTTTCCAGTGGCTGCTGTACAAATGGCTGCTATTGTCTGATTTTCACCATCTATTAAAGAGTTTGGTCCCTTTGTTAGGCTCACAATGGGTTCAACTATTGAAATTAAAAAAATAAGTATGTTTTCAGTCAAGACAGAAAATTTCATTAACCTCACTTCAATTGCTGTATGTACATTTTATCCCCAATAGCTTACAGCTACTAACTCATTTTCAAGGCAGATTTGTTAACCAGCAGGTAAAGTTGATGACACAATGGATACTTAAAAGTAATCTGGACAATTGGCAGCTCTGACATCCCTGTGCTGCACATTGCCAGGATGGACTGTTTAAAATCAAAGTGATATAAGTCACATTTTAATCAGCAAGCAAGAACTCTTGTTTTAAATCATTTGTTTTAATCTAGCTTTGTATCTGTACTTTATTCCTCCCCCTAAGGTAAGCTTGATGCTCATTCGTTGGTAACCATTAAAACATGTGAACTGCAACTAAATATAGCCTTTAGGCTACATTTGGTGGGATTGGTTTTACTAACCAGGAAGAGACATTATATTTTACACATTTACTTAAGCAATTCTATAGTTTAACTTACATTTATTCAGGTTTTTTTATAAATATCATAGAAATGTATGATGCACTTATTTACAACTACACATCTCCAGTGTGGTCTTAGAACCCAAATCTTCTTTGTTGTGTACCTTAAGCGCTATCACCTAACTAGTTTCATAGATATCTGGGTGGGTTTTTTGTTTGTTTAGGTTTTGTTTGTTTGTGATTAAAGAGAAAGTAGTACTAAAGATTCTTGCTCCACAAGCTATTAAACAAATCAGACCCCGTTATGTCCTTCAGCCTACTTTCTTTGATAGTTAACAGTGTGACTTGCAGCATTATGCTCTGGCCATAAAACATTCTTTTCACTTCTCTTCATTTTTCTTTTTTTTTTTAAATATAGCTATCAATATAATCAACATGCAAAAACTCAACATTGGGAAAGACCTGAGAGATGCCCAAGAATCAATGACATCCAGGAGGTTGAACTTGTATACATTAAGGGAAGCCTCTGAAGAAATCAAACTTTTAAGTGCAAGGAAATTTAGTCTACTTATGAATGTCAAGCCAGTTACAAATAAGAGATTGGTTTCACTCACATGCTGCAAGGTACTAACAGGGAATATCCAACTGCCCAACATTTTGTGAACTCAGGTGTCCAGAGTATCTCTACTGCAATTTATATTTAAAAGAAAATAATTCTTACAGTAGTTAGTATTAACTTAAAGTCAATTTGTGTATATATATATATATATATATATATATATATATATATATATATATATATATATATATATATATATATATATAAGGTTCAATTATGCATTCGCCCAGTGAACACAGTTAGTCATCCACCAATTCTTGACCGAACATAGAATTCTTACTTAATCCAAGTGTAGTCTATTGTTTAAATAAGGCCACTTGTAGATTGAGATGTTAGTAACTTTGTATAGTAACTCAAGTTCTTCAAGGTGCATCCCCCTACATGTAAAAACAGACTGCAAAGCAGTGGGGGGAAGGGCGGACAGTAGAGCACCTATCAAGACATCTCTAAGAACTTCAGTTCCTGTAAAATTAAACCACCTTTCCTTTCTCAAGTAGTGTCCTGATGGGTGCTCCACTTCAAGCAACTGCCAACCAGGATCCATAGGAGGGAGCAGATTTGGAGTCAGATTTAAGACTGCTGACAAAACAGCACTGTCAATAGCAGTATCTGACCTGGAAGCATGTACCAAGATATATTGTTTGGAAAAACTGAACTGATGACCAAGTTGCGACTGATAGTAACAAATTCTCGTAGGTATTTTGTCCACAGGTTCTGCTCTTGGTATGCATGTCCCAAATGAGAGTGTTTTTATTAATAGCATTGTTCTGTTGGGGTTGTGCCAGCACTGTAAGAGCCCTCACAACCGTCATAGCCAAGACTACGCCTACTGCTCACAGTTCCTTTGCCAATAAGAATTGGAAGTGTCAGGACTCCTTAACTGCAATAGACATGTCATCACCAACTTGGAATCTAACACAGCTTCCTAGGAATTTGATGCTTTGTGTCAGAGTCATAGACTTTAAGATCAGAAAGGACCATTATGATCATCTAAGCTGACCTCCTTCACAACGCAGGCCACAGAATCACACCTACCCACTCCTGTAATAAACCCCTAACCTATGTCTGAACTACTGAAGTCCTCAAAGCATGGTTTAAAGACTTCAAGGCACAGAGAATCCTCCAGCAAGTGACCTGTGCCCCACGCTGCAGAGGAAGATGAAAGCCCCCCAGGATCTCTGCCAAAGTGCCCTGGAGGAAAATTCCTTCCCGACCCCAAATATGGCGATCAGTTAAACCCTGAGCATGTGGGAAAGACTCACCAGACAGACACTCAGGAAAGACTTCTCTGTATTAACTCAGATCCCACCCCATCTAACATCCCATCACAGGCCATTGAGCATATTTACCGTTAATAGTCAAAGATCAATTAATTGCCAAAATTAGGCTATCCCATCATACTGTTGCCGGCCCAGAGGGCCCGAGGGGGCAACAGCGGGGTTCGTTGCCTGGTGTGCGTCGCACTGATAAACACACTAGGGTGGAGAAGCAAACCAAGTTTATTCAAGATTTTGAAAAGGCACTCAGGAGACCAGCATGTTTTACATTAGAAGCGCAACAAATATAAGCAAGTTTCCCCTTTTATATTTCAAGCTGTTTGTGTAAGCCTTTTGTTCTGTTTCCCCTCCACTCCTCCCTTCCTGACAGCATTTACAGTAGGCACTACATTGTGGTGTGTTAGAAAATTTCTCGTCCGCATGTTTATCTTTGGCCTTGCGGGCCTAGACACATGTAGACCTCCCCCCCCCCCCATCACTACCGCTTTTGCTAGTTTGAGCGAAACTGCAACTGTCTGCTAAAAAAGCTGACTGTTACATGTTCTGCTTTCAGGCTGTTAGCATTTAGGTTGGTTAAAGTTCACAAGATGGAGTTACTTTGGCTCACTTAGACCCAGAGCAGTGGGGTTTCATTGACACTTATGGTCTTCCATCCTCCCGAGTTACCTGGTAGCTATGCCTAGTGACACCAACAATACCATCCCCTCCATAAACTTATCAAGCTTAGTCTTGAAGCCAGATGTGTCTTTTGCTCCTCCCCCCCGCCACTGCCCTTGGAAGGCTGTTCCAGAACTTCACTCCTCTGATGTTTTGAAATCTTCATCTAAATTTCCTGATGGCCAGTTTATATCCATTTGTTCTTGTGTCCACATTGCTTCTGAGCTTAAATAATTCCTCTCCCTCCCTGGTATTTATCCCTCTGATATATTTATAGAGAGCAATCATATCCCCCCTCAGCCTTCTTTTGGTTAAGCTGAAAAAGCCTCCTTTCATAAGACAAGTTTTCCACTCCTTGGATCATCCTAGTAGCCTGTTCCAGTTTGAATTCATCCTTCTTAAACATGAGAGACCAGAATTGCACACAGTATTCCAGATGAGGTCTCACCCGTGCCTTGTATAATGGTACTAACACCTTCTTATCTCTGCTGGAAATATCTCGCTTGATGCATCCCAAGAGCGCATTAGCTTCTTTCACAGCCATATCACATTGACAGCTCATAGTCAACCTGTGATCAAGCAATACTCCGAGATCTTTCCCCTCCACTGTTACTTCCAATTGATACATCCCCAGCTTATAACTAAAATTCTTGTTATTAATCCCTAAATGCATGACTGTAGGGAGCCAGGGTGGCTTCCCTCCAAACCTGAGGGTAAAGGGCCGCTCTCTCAGCCTGAGTGGGCGGGGCCAGGCCAAGCTCACTCCACCCCCCGGAAGGGGAGGGGCAGGAAGTACAAAGGGCGGGGCCCTTAGCTCAGTCAGGGCAGCACCAGGGAGGGAGGCAGACGCAGACGGCGGGCTGCTCCCTTCAGACCCTGCTGCCTCACCAGGGGAGGCCCCGGACCAGGGGAAACCTGACCTGCAGGAAGGACTGGAGCTACCAAGACTGCCAGCAACCGAGTACCCCGAGGAACCGGAGGAGCCCGAGCCAAAGGGAGAGCTGGAGCTGCCAGCAGCTGATGACCCAGCCGACCCGCCTCGGGACCAAAACCCAGACAGCACTACAGACTTTTGCCGGCGCTCCCCTGCCTGAGGGGCATGCCACAGCCTTTTGCGGGCGCCCCTTGCCTGAGGGGCGTGCTCCAGACTCTGGCCGGCGCTCTCCCCGCCGCTAATTCCCCAGTGACAGAGGCGTGACCCAGGCTGGCCAGTGCCGCCGTAGCTCCCCCACCGCCCTTAGCGGCCCGGTGGGCCAGCCGACAAGGATCACAATGACCTTACACTTTTCACTATTACATTTCATCCTATTACTATTACTCCAGTTTACAAGGTCATCCAGAGCTTCCTGTATGATATCCCAGTCCTTCTCTGTATTGGCAATACCTCCCAGCTTTTTGTCATCTGCATACTTTATTAGCACACTACCAGTTTTTGTGTCAAGGTCAGTAATAAAAAGATAAAATATGATTGGTCCCAAAACCAGTCCCTGAGGAACTTCATTGGTAACCTCCCTCCAGCCTGACAGTTCACCTTTCAGTATGACCTACTGTAGTCTCCCCTTTAACCAGTTCCTTATCCACCTTTCAATTTTCATACTGATCCCCATCTTTTCCAATTTAACTAATAATTCCCCATGTGGAACCTTACTGAAATCAAGGTAAATTGGATCCACTGTGTTTCTTTGGGCTAAAAAAATCTGTTACCTTCTCAAAGAAGGAGATCAGGTTGGTTTGGCATGAGCTACCTTTTGTAAAACCATATTGTATTTTGTCTCAATTACCATTGACCTCAATGCCTTAACTACTTTCTTCTTCAAAATTTTTTCAAAGACCTTGCATATTACAGATGTCAAACTAACAATCCTGTAGTTACTCGGATCACTTTTTTTCCCTTTCTTAAAAATAGGAACTATGTTAGCAATTCTCTAGTCATGTGATACAACCCCTGAGTTTACAGATTCATTAAAAATTCTTGCTAGTGGGCTTGCAATTTCATGTCAGTCAGTGTGG